GTCCCTCAGCTCTTCAGCTCAAGGCTAGCGCTCTAGCACTTGAGCCACAGCGCCACTTCCGGCTTTTTTCTTTTTGCTTATGTGGTGCTGAGGAATAGAACCCAGGGCCTTGAGCATGCAAGGCAAGCGTTCTACCACTGAGCCACCTTCCCAGCCCTCTTATTATTCTTATATAGCAGCTATTGTAGGAAAGAATGGCACCCCTTACATAGCTAAGAGTATATAAAGAGCTAAGAGTATGTACCCAAGTATAACCCACAAGAAATAATCCAACAGCAACCTGTGATCAAGCTAAGCTGCAAGGATCCCAAAGCAAAAAAATGTAATTTTTTTTAAAGGAAAGTAAGGCAGTGGGAGAGAAAAACATCTTAAAACAGACAAAACTGATTGTAGGCCATGAAGTCTAATAATGATTTACTTAGAAAGTTAAGGGTTTTGTTTTGCTTTATGTTTGTTTTGGACACTAGTAATGGAATTTGAACTCAGGGCCTTCACACTGCCCTTTAGCTTTTTCTGCTCAATGCTAGCTCTTTAAAACAACTCCACATTAAGTTTTTTTGTGATTAGAGAGAAGAGTTTCATGGATTTTTCCTGCCTAGGGTGGCTTCAAACTACAAACCTCAGATCTCAACTTTCTGAGTAGTTAGGATTACAGACATATATGCTACCAGCACCCAAATTGCAAGGGAGTTCTGTGTGAAAAAAGGTTGAATTCTTTGGAAGTAAATCAAGAGTTCAGGTACAGTGCTTTAACCTAAAGCCCTCTGGGTCCCTAAGGCATGACAGATCCTGTTCCAAGGAGTCACAGACACTGACATCATCGGCCAGCAGCAAATATTATTATTTTCAAATCCTCAAGACTTGATGCTACATTTATAGTGAAGGAAAGTTTGCTCTGGGTAGAACAGTTGGCCATGGGACTCCACCTTGGAGAAAGAGAGGCCCAGAATTGTCATTTACCACTTGGCCCAAGTTCTACGAAGTTTATCCTGCTCTCCTCTGACCTATCTAAAAGAATCATTGTTCTCAAGATTGTCAAGGTATTCTAATGGCACAACTAAATGATGAGCAAAAAATAGAAGAGTTTTTAAGAGAGGAAATATACCAAAATTTCTATTCATTTCACAGCTAATAAAATTAAAATATTAAATTTTGCTACTCTGGAAAACTCACACATGTTCTGCAAAAATATTTTATAGACTCATAAGTCTCCAAATACTTCCTGTTCTAGTAAGTCATTCTGGGGTGTTCATTTTCTAAAATATTTGCCTTCAGGCTCATAAACAGAACCAACATCTATAAACCAAATAAATAAACACAATGGGTTCCTGGCGTTCCCACCTTACTTTGAAAGACATTAAACGAGCACCTCAGGTTAATATCCTTTACTCTTCATAGGAGGCAGAAATAGGTTTCACACTTAGCATGTGATTGTTTTAAGATTTCTCCAGTCTTTGTGAAGCAATACTAGGCAAGATACTCCTTTTAGCTTATGCTTGGAAAAATTAGGAATGAAAAACAAAATAGTTTTCCTAACTAATTCAGCTCTATACTTTATACTCTATGGAATTGCATGCAATTCCATAAGGTTTACTATGAGGGAATCCCAGAAGTGAAATTTACTGTTGTCCTATCACTAAGCACTTAACATTTCTAGATATTTTCAAACATACTCTGCATTCCTGAAAAGGAAAAGAGAAAACCTAAAATATGTTTAGCCTTTTTGATTAGTCCAGAATAATCCATAACTCACCAGTTGAGAGCTTTCAAATAATCACTCTTTGACAGATCTAAAAAGGAAGTCTCACCAGATCTAAAACATAAGGCCTTAAAAATCTTGTCCTCAATTAGGAGCCTGTGGCTCATGCTCATGGCTGAGATCTAAGGATCTTAGTGTGAAGCCAGCCCAGTCAGGAAAGTCTATGAGCTCTTATCTCCAATTAACCACCAAAAAGAAGTGAAGATGTAAGTACTAGA